GTTCTCTGCATTACAAGTCTGTGTGAGGATACTTGTGCTAAGGGGAGTGGCTGTTACCCAGCTCTGCCAGCACAGGTCACTGGGGCGCAAGAACTGGAAACAGCATTTCCACTGCAGTAAAGAGGCATGTTAAGGCATTTGCTAGCAAGAATTAGTCACCAATCATAACATGCAGGGGTACAGGACCATAAAGAGAAGCAAATAGCTGTGATACTTCAATCAGGCTTCACTTTTGACTTAGAAAGAAGTTGAGGCCCTACATACCACCTGGTCTGATAAAGTACAGGTATGGGCAGGCACCATTGGCTGTATGCATTATACCAGTTAGTTTACATATATTAATGAACATGACAGAATCAATTTAGGGGAAACATAGGAATAAAAGTTGAGAGCTGCCCCTTCCTTTGCATGTTGAGAGACAACTTTCGCCACGCCTTCGCAGGAGTATAAAGTTTTGGCCTTTACCCATGATCTCCTTTTCCACCTCACTCAGCCTTTGATGTTGGTACCGAGTCTCCTAAAGGACTTTCAGTCCTTGTCCAACTTTAAAATAAATTACTCTATATTGTTCGCTATGAACATTTCCCTTCCTAGTTCAGTGGTGGACAACAGTAAATGGAATTTCCCCTTTCGATGGTCTTCACCGTCCGTCAGTTACTTGGGAATCCATCTCCCGGATGATCTAGAAGATCTCTAATTGCTTAACCTCCCTTCTTTATTCACTGGCTTCGTGATGACTTGCAGGATTGGAACAAAACTAATTTTTTCTTGGTTGGACAGGGCAGCAATATAAAAAATTCATATACCGTGTTTCCCCGAAAATAAGACCTACCCCCCAAATAAGACCTAGTACTATTTTTTGTAATTGCTAAAATATAACACCTACCCTGAAAATAAGACCTAGTTGTGGCCGGTGGCGGCATAAGGGGGAACTTGAAGAGCTGCAGGAGAAGCGGGAGAGAATCAGCAGAGCCATCATAAGCCTGTCAGTTGCGGCCTCCTCAGCGTGTCTTCCGGGTCCAGCGGCGTCCCGTTGCTACGCAACGGCCGCGTCAGGGTCCGTTCGCAGCTCCGTCCCCCGCGCGGCGCTCACAATAAAGATCAGCTGAGTCTGTTTGTTCGGCGTTCTAACGTGGTAATTCGTTGAGCAACGAACCATAGCGAATTCACCTCTCTCCATGCTTGTTGCACTCTTACTACAGAACCCCACGACTACCTATACTCCGGACACCACGGCTCTATCCAACGGCCGTTCCCCGGGAAGCTACAAGGCCATTCCTCCACCCAGAAACCGCAAGTAACCTTTCTGTGGCTAAAGTTGCCTGCATGTCAATTGGTCCCATAGCAGGACATTGCAGCCTCTAAATTACTGCACTGTGTGTATCTTGTGTGCTGGGCTGAACCTACTATATCCTGTGCATAAGTGGATTATTATTGTTGCACACACTCCTCACCCTCACTGCTTAAAGATTCTGGGAAGAGTTTAGAGACTATAACCACATCCTACTCCAAGGGAGTTGGTGTGTACTTTTATTTTACTGCAGACCTCACGCCAAAGAATAGGTTACAGAGAAATTGTTGTTTATGGTGATAATTAATGTTTGAACGGAAATTATATATTTAAAGATATTTTATAATAAACGGCTGCTACAGCCATTTTATATCCAACCTGGTGTGGTCCATTATTTAAGGTGGGCATGGGTCATGGAGGGGTTAAGGGTTGTAGTCAGCAGTGGGTGGTTGGGTCATAGGACGGCTGTGCCTTACCCTGTCATGCTTGTGAGCGGAACCAGCAGAAGTAGTTACTCCTTTGTTTCCCTTCATTGGTGGTGTATGATGTGTATAGAGGCTCCGACTTCACTCGCTATCACATAGAGTGTTACAGAGAACCTCCCCACTGAGCCACTTCAAATCACCCTGCCACAACCGCATAGATCCGCAGCTGAGATCCTTCACCCATTCATCCTCAGTTGCTCAGTTGTTACAGATGCATATTTCTGGATGCTCGTTCACCTGCAGATGTTCATCCCTTACTTGCCATGTGCATTTTTTCATGCGTTCTGTGTTACGCGTTACTGGTGATGACAATTTTTTTCTTTTTTCACTGACTCAAAATAAATGTACAGCTAGCAAAGCCAGACTATCCAATGTGTACACTTGTTCCAAATCAGTGACTTATTAGGTAGTGGAGCATGGATGAGGATGAACAATACAGAAATTCAATCCCTTCAAACAATGCAGAAACCTAAGCATAAAGCATCGGTCTTGGTGGCATACATTTCCAGATATACATGGATCCGAACTGCCACATCAAGGTACCTCTGCGGTCTTGTCCTTCTCAGACACATTTGCAAATGTATCCAAAGGGAAACCTCCATTTTTTAACCATATGTTAAAAAGTTGGAAGTTGTGTTTGGTTCTCTTTGCCAGATAACTGGACTGACCTCTAGAAGATTTCTGAATTGTTAATTCGTCCATAACTTTCTTTGTGCTGGATCTAAATGTATTTAGGTGACTCCAACTTTCTGGTTTTGTATGGGTGAGGAAGACGGTTTGGGGGGAATTTATCAAAGTGATTGCGACAGTTTTAGCCTCTTAGATTATTTTTTTTTAATGTGCAAATCTGTCTTTTAACATGTGCGCCGGTTTTGACCTGAGCTTGCACTGCTTTTCCAATTGCACGTGTTTTGTGCCTGTTTTCATCTGCACTTGTTCTGGGGCTGTCTGGAACTGGAGCATCACCTAAGAAAACAATCGCAACTTAAGAAGTCCCCATGACGACTTCTTCAAGAAACGATAGTTAAAAGAGAACTATGAGGCGAGTGAAAATCACTCATCCTCATAGTTCGAGCCTACGTGTGACAATTAAACTGTCACACGTCGGCTCAATAGATTGGGAAGTGAGCGAACACATACCGTCGCTCGCTCACTTCTCGATCCTCTCCCTGCAGAGAGTGGTGACTGTCAGTCACCGCTCACCGCACCCCGCAGGGATTCCCTTCCTCCCCGCTCCGATCCTCCAAGGGATGGACAGGGGAGGGGGCGGGCACAGCTGGCTCTACCTCTAGATAGGCAGAGTCCGCTGTCACTCACGCAGCTGGCTGGATCTCGACAGCATTGTCGGGATCCATCCCAGCTGCGGCGGTCTCAGCATACCGCGAGCTATAGCTCGCGATATACTGAGCTTTGGGTCACGGGAGGACGCTAGTATATGTCCTCCCATGACCCTTAAGAGAACTATGGGGGAAAACACCTACCCCATAGTTCTCTTTTAAGCTTTTTGCCTTGAGTCAGAAGTCTTCTTTTTAACCTTATTTATCAACAACATTACACAACATAAATCAGGTTCAAAGTGCATCAAATATATATCGTGCAAGTTCAAACACTTGCAAATGCTACGTTAAAATCCCCCCATTGTGTTTTCAAAAACAGTAACCATGTTTCTATTTTGACTGGTTCCCTATAAAGCAAACCTTTTCTTTTTTCATTGCTCACACAACGCGCTGTCAAATATGACCTATACAGTTTATAAACAGCTCAACGGTACAAATTCAACAAAACAGAAGTTCCATTCTGGTCTGCCCCGGAGACCAGGTTATTCCCCCATTGGGCTCCACCATCTTGTCTCCTGCACAGCATTGAGAAGGTGAAGCCAGGCTGTCAATCAAATCCCGCACATCAAAGACACCTCTGCCCTTCCTGGGACAGTCACTTCGCTTTACATGTCAGTGGTCAAGGGGTGTGGTTAGATCGTCAGATTATACTATTTATTTTCTGTAAAATCTTCACAAAATGCAGACATTGGTAACTCCAGATCACCATTCATTTTATTGTGAGTCCATACATTCTGAAAGGAACTAATTTTCACTTTATTTAAGCCCTGATGAAGGGGGATTGTGTGAACCCCCAAAATGCATTTGATGTTTCACCAGGCTGAACCTTTGGACTCAAATTGTGGTGGCGCCCCCCCATCTTATGTGGAAGAAGCTTCTCCAAGAACGTCCTGAGCATCCTGAAGAACAGATTCATTTATAATGTGGGTCTCCTATAGCAG